TATTCAGCCATAACTTTAATCCAGTTGTCTCGAACGTACTTTTAAGGCCGCCGTCATTTGCGATCTCCAGCAGTTTTTTTTTTCCTCATTTTGCAAGCTCTGGCGTTTTGTTTTTAAGCGTAATCGGTCACGTGACAGAGAAGCGTGGCTTGACGTGTGTCAAGCGTGACACAGACGGATGTAACGGAGAATCCGGTGAATTTTCAAAATAAAACATCTTTCGTATTCCGAAATAAATAAAACGGAATTGAGGCAAGTTCTTTCTGTGCGGCCCGGTACCAAATGCCCTGCGGACTGGTCCGCGGATCGGCGGTTGGGACCCCTGGTCTAGTGTAAGCAAGCAATTGGGCCTCGGCAGCCCCCCCCCTAAACATTCCCCGTGGGGATAGCCACCTGTCACGGCCTACTCTTGGGATGCCGGCGTGCATGTTCTTTCTTTGTGTGCAAAGTGGGTAGCGGGGGGTAAATCCTATTAACTGTCTGCTACTGATAGCTCTCAGTGTAAGCAGTGTGTCACTGTCACGTGGTCAAGCGACTACAGTCTTGTGCAAAGCCCCCCCCCCCCCAATGCAGCCAAGTCTGCGATAAATAGTGCTGGGTGAGGAGTGTGACCTCAGCGTTAGCAATGATCACTTTGCCCCGGCTGCGCTTGCACAGACTGATAGCTGACCTCGCATTGTTCCAGCCGCCGCCGGCTCGCTCGTTAATGATCGCCGAGAATCACTGGCGCGCGACTTCCAGAGAGCTTTTTAAGCCCGTGTGGACGCACGGCGGGACAAATTGCTGCTCTTACTGCTGATTTATGAAGGGAAGAGTAAAGTTACATGGTCGGGGATTCCACAGAAATGACCCGCTCGTCTCTCTATTACTGTAATAAACAGTGGGAAAGACCACGAGTTGTTATTTTCTGACAGGAGAAGAGATGTTGCACTGATTCTCCACCACTGCGCTGTCAGAGATGATCAGGTGTGCTCCAGGAAAGCGGCCATTTTGAATGAATTGGCATGTAAATGATTGTTGACTACATGTAATGCATCTTTGCTCTGCGCCGGTGCTTTGTAGTGGCAGGCAGAACAAAGAAAAGCGCTTCTGCTCAAACCGCCGATCATTATTTCAGTACTTTTTTTGCGGTGGACTTTTTAGATGTAAAAAATAAATAAATAAAAACAATAAAAAAATTCGTGGCTTGTCTCACTCGAGGTTTGGGGAACACGTGAATAGAGCAATCGCGTGGAATGCAGTTTACAAGTTTACTCAAGCCAAAAAGAAAGAGCCGATTCAAACGGAACCTGGTTCGGCGACGATTTTCTCGGATGCAATGGCATGAAGGCTTTCAACTATTTATTTATTTAGTTTTTTTCTTCATTAGGACAGTACACATGAATCAACACAAGAATAAACAGTGTAAATGCGCCGGATTTAGCATAAATGCTAATTTTCAGCCGTAGTCCCAAGGCAGGTTTCTAAAATAGCACAGTGAGACACATCAAACTTTAAAACTAACATGGCAGAAATAAAAATGAAAAAAAAACAAGTAGGGTGAAGCCCTGCCATTTGCAGGAGATAAGGACTGAGCCCAACTGCAAATCGTAAAAATCTGCCGAGAACTGACACTGCTCCGAATTATCTTCAGTAAAAACTAAACAAATTTGAAGACGGCGCTCACAGGTCAATCCCAGTACCACAACAAGACTCCCGAATGTTGGTAGAGAATTCGATAAGTGTCGACACAGGAACAGCATTTATTACATCATGAGACCGAAAAAAAAACAGTTGTTCCACTTCTAATTGAGTGTGGACCAGACTGAATAAGACCCGTGAGATGGTACTGTACTTCCCCAAGAACGATTATGTCTCATTCCCTTGGAAGGATGGTGAAAGTGTACAGGAGCGGGTCGGGAAAATGGAATGCGGTTGTGGCAAGACGGCTGCAGAATGGCGTTGCGCTTCGGAGTTTCCACATAAAGCACTTGTGGGACGGCGCAAATATTCGGTTCCTCAGCGGAATTCTTTATGAGTCCATAAAACTTGAAGACAAAACCGAAGTCAATGTACTCTCCTTCCAGCGTTGCATTTAAAAAAAAAAAAAAAAAAAAAAGGCCAAACGTGGGTCATACGATGAATATCTTGCCCTTTTGCGGTTTATCTCCTGGACTTAAAAGGGTCAATCAATAGGACCGCTCCTCCAACTGACCCCGAGTTGCCTTTTATTCGCATGAATGAGCGCTCAAAGCATTTGTCCACGGGGACACATTTTAGTGAAGCCTGTTTTCAAAACCGCCGCCGCTATACTGCCTTGAAACGATCTGCGGCGCGTTGCCAGGAAATGCTCGGGGAAAAAAGAAAAAAAAAGGCTTTTGACCTTTTCGGGGGGGGGTGAGGGGGGCTTTTACGAGAGCCCTCCGTGTCCGTCGAATCGGCAGCGTGAGAACGGGGAATGTTTATGTTCAAAATGGATTGAAGGAAAAATCCCGGCGCATTTTGTCAAACTAGAAGCTTCCGTTGACGACGTGTTCTCGTCGCTATCTCTGACTGAAACGACTCCGATGAAGAGCAAACGGAAATGTTCAAATCGCTCCCACAGAGGGGTGGTCGGCCCTTTCTTGAATATATAACTCAAAAGCTGGACTTCTGTGTCCTGCGAACTCATGCAACAACCCAACTAAACCACAACATTTAGCCAGCTAGAGTGAAACTCCTCTACAACAAAATACCCCCTAGTGTGAAAAAAATCTTCATGCATGAAAGCCATTCCCACTTTTCTGCTCTCCTACAATGAAAAGTTGCGGAATACGAAATCTTTTTCTCTGCCCTTGCCTCGCAAGGAGGTTCACTACAACGAAAACAAGCCTTCCGCAAAAGTCTAATCCGACCTCGGCCTGCCACAGCGACTCCTACTGCTTCGCTCCGAAACGGCAACAGCAACCACCACACTGGTTTACACATGCGCAGTAGAACAGGAAGTATTTGTTATTGTTAGTTTCAGACGCAACACGAACGTTGCATTGCTAAAATGGCTACAAAACGGACCTTTGCATGCCAAGGAGTTAAGAAAAGAAGAGCTCTGACGCTTGAAGACAGATAAAGGTAATAAAAATGAAAGATGGAGGAAGCAAAATAAAAGACATCGCGTTGTCGAGGAGTTTCACTGTATTGAAGTTTCAAGAGCAGCAAATCATGTTGTTGATATCTCAGATTTCTGCGATTTCTGTTTTGACACATTCGAGCATTTCCAGACTGAACGCAAATGTCCTCAGTTTTCCCAGACTAACTGTCGTGTCTCACACAAACAGCCACGCGTCGTCGCCTATTTACACACGGGAATCCGTTTTCTTTTCATGACGACAAGACGTCAACCACTAATTCAATCGGAATGAAGTCGTCCGACAGTAGAGTACGCACACTCGGCCCTTTAGCCCGCTCTCACCCGCAGTCCACGCTTTTAACTCAAATAACTCACTTCCTGGATCCTCATTGGGTCGCATGGCGACAGTTTCCCAGATTCCAGACGGTGTCGCGTTACATTTGGCGGAACGGGGCCCAGTCGGCCCGCTGTGTCTAATTTGCTAATGGCTCCCTGCTGCACGCACACAGTTTCGACTGTAAGAGATTGTAATTGGACTTAGTCACAACGGCTAAATGGTGATTGCGCGCGTGCACAACACACACACACACACACACACACACACACACACACACACACACAGACACGCACACACACACACACTTTATTTGGCATTTGCATGCTGCGGTCGGCACAACGTCACTGATCCGGCACCATGACTGTATTAGAAACGTCAGGCATCATCACCGCAAGACGACGAACTAGCAGAACCTGCTTCGTTGTAGTAGTCTTAACAGTCAAATATTTGTTTGGCACTTCCATTAAAAAAAAAAAAAAAAAAAAAAGGTTCCTTGGTTGGGGGACCGGATTTCAACGGAGATTAAAGCTTGCTAAAACCTGAAAGAGATAAAGGCAGCATGAAACTTCATTAATCTGCCAAGACGAAGTTACAAGCACGTTTAATGTGTCTGGATTAAGGTGAGTAGATCTGTGCGGCGCTAATGGGACAGAAAGAAAAAGGACAAGGAATCTTGTGTACGAAATCACAATATATTATCATGTCATTTGCTGAACAGCATCACCAATCAGTACAGAGTACAAAAAAACAAAGCAGCGTCTGACACGAGCTAAAACACAACAACGTGTATGTACAGATCGTTAACAAAAAAGGACATTTGGAAACGCGCCGACGAATCGGCCGTGTTTGACACGAGGCCGCCGTCAACAACCACCCCCCCGAGAGCTCTGAGCTCACGTTATCGACGAGACAATCTTTGGTTTTCAGTCACGCATCCCGAACGTGCTTCAAATGTGCAACTCATCTTTGGTTCTTTGTTTAAGACTCCGCCGGTCGTTGTGTTCTCGATTCGGATTTACGGAAGAAAAAAAAAGTTGAAGCGTCTCCAATCACTCCACATGCGGCGTCCAAATTGTGCAAATGGCTGTTCAATCCTAATCTTCTTCTTTACGGTTGTCGTCTGAGGGCGAGAAGTCGAGTGCACCCACTTCTACACCTCACAAATCTACAGTAGTGCATTGGGGTATTTATTGCACGCCCAAGTCATGGCTTTTGTCACTTTTTTTACAGCGACTCAAAGGACACGGGCAAAATCCCAAATTGGAAATGTCGAGCGTTGATGCTACAAAAGTAGCAGATGCGAAGGTACCGTTTTAAAATGTACGAAGAAATATTTTACCGAGGGTGCGTCAGAAAACACAGTAACATTTAAATGGCTTTGGACTTTAAAAAAAAAAAAAAGAATTTTGAGGTACCATTTCTCTGAGCTTGGAAAGATAAAACGTATCCTGCCAAACCATAAGAGTCAAGAGTGGCCTACTAATCCAAAAATCCAAACTATGACGGTACCACACTAGTGACAAGGCATCAAACTGCTTAAAAGTCAATCATTTAAAGTGTCTCGGAAAATTATGTCAATTTTCTCCCGTTTAGGACTCATCATTGGACCCGAAAATGTACCGTTTGCGAGCCTGTTTGCAAAAGCCAACTGTCAAGGGTCCGAAAGTCAGAACTCTGATGGTACCACCTGAGTGACAAGCCATTGTAGCCCTCATAAGGTACCATGCTGGGTTTGGGTCCGAAAAATCAGGCTCGAGTCACATCACATACTTGACCAAATCGAAATAAAGGACTCCAAGGTACTGTTTCGGGTACTGTATGTTTCCAGGCTCTAAAAGTCAAGTATTAAGGCTACAAAAGTACATTTGAACCTACCAACCAAAAACAAGCCCCTGTACCTTAAAGGGCTGTTTCTTTGTTTTGTTTTTGTCAAGATACCCACAAAAACTCCAAGGCGTTGTCCCTAAAAGGATCCAAGTATGTCACCAAGCCGTAACAGTCAAGGTTCCAGATGTCCGAGGGTACCACCCCAGTGTACAAACTAGTAACGACAACAATTTCGAAGGTAAATAAATAAAAAAAATGGCGGTCAATAAATATGACGTTTGCACCCAACAGAACCAGAAGACGCAGCTGCAAATGTTAACCAACCAACAAAAACCAAGTAAGGGTGTGACCGCAAGTAGTTTGCTGAGGTGTGGCTAGTTTCAAAGTAAAACTAAAAGTCACACGGGTGAGTCAGCGATGTTAATTCGCGACCACACACACACACACAAAATGGCAACTATGGCCTCTAAAAATCATCCTTATCCAAAGCAGTAGTATTCATCCGATTGCACGCTCAGTTTCACCGGCGATTTGCAGAAGGCGTCGCCGTCTATTACGGATTTATCAACAAAGCAGTCCAGGTTGGTTGGCGAAAGGTCTTCCCGGAGGTCCTCAGAGAGCGTGTCCAGGTAGCTGCCCACCGACAACGCGTCCAGTTCGTCGCTGTTGGCGTCGTTCAGGCTGCTGAGGCTACCCGGCAGCGAGGCGCCGTCCTGGCTGTCCGACAGGCTGTACAGGCTGCCCGTCAGGCTGCCGTCTTGGCTGACCGTGTCGCCTTTGTCGTCCATCACCCAGCGGATGGATTCGATGCCCTCGTTGATGGACATGAGCTGCTGCATCAGGTCCACGTCGATGGCGCGCAGGTTCGCCTGTGTCGCACCGGGGGGGGGGGGGGGGGGGGGGGGGGGGAGGATTTTAAACAGTTTGTTCCGCTTGGGGGTCAATGTCAAAAGATGACAAGCAAAATGAATTAAAATGAATTCTGGGAGGCTGTTGCTGATGTTATAAAGAAACGTATGATTTGTAATGTGCATCACAATATGTTATAGGAATGCCCAAATATGTGAATTAAAAAAAAATGAGTACATGGGTATATTTGTAATCATAGAGAAGAAAAAAATACTGAATTAAATCTCTGGCACAATAGAAACGGTCGCTTCGAACCAAAAGTTCCTGCGTCTTTTCGGTTGGAGCCTGCAGGATTTTTGTGGGGCAATTTGTGATTGACACGCCTACCAAACGGGTTGCTGGCGCTGAGAAACAATTAGAGACTCTTGAAAAGAGACCAAAAAAAACAAAAAACAAAGGCGCAGCAAGGAAATAGACAGTATCCTGGATTTGGACTCGACTGAATACAAACAAGTCATGTTTGCTGTCATATCAACAAAGAATATCAGCTCAAATCCAAGTTTTGAAAGCCCTCTGCCTCAGGGGCCGAATACTTTTTGTGGCCTTGAACAACACCTGGGCTTTATCGAGCTTGAATAAAGTTGCTATTGGCTCATGAATCGTGCAGGAATCTTTGCATCTTGATACCGAAACCGCAATGCAAATTGTGAGAAACGATACAAGTTCGTACAGGTTACGTTTTTTTTCCATGCAGTGTGATTTCACAATTTCTCAACTCAATAATACAAATTGAAAACTCAAACATCATTTTTATCATCAAAGTTTAATGTGCCGTTTGCGCCACGGGCCAAATTGATCCGCTTGTATCTAATCCCCAAAAACTTCATGCATGAGAAGTATAGTACTAAATAATTGACTGAAAACTGTGTTTTACCGTTAATGACCCCCAGGGTCAATCTGACCCAGGAACATTGCTGTTCTTAAAGTGGAGCAGTTTCACATTTTGCAGGTCAAATAGACCTATTTAGATTCATGAAATGTAAAGTGTTGCATTTCTGACATCCGGGTCATTTTGACCCAGGAACATTATTATCGCTGTCCTTAAACGAACCCACTTCACATATTGCTCGTCAAATTGATCCATTTAAGTTAAAGACATATAAACAGTATTTTTACATTTCTGACACAAGGGTCAATTTGACCCACAAACATTACAGTTCTTAAATAACACGATTCATCTGCAGCAGGTCAACTGACCTTTTAAGGATAATGATATATAAATTGTGTCTCTGTATCTGTGACAATCGGGTCAATTTGACCCAGGGGAAATTATTTTCTTGCTGTCATTCAGTTCACACATTTGAGATGTTGCAGGTCATATTGACCAATTGAAGTCAGTGACATAAAAACATTGTTCTTGCATTTCTGACAGGCAGGTCAATTTGATCCAGTCAAATTATTTAATTGCTGCAATTCAGCTCACCCGCTTGATATGTTGCAGATCAGATTGAGCAACTAAAGACAATGACAAAAACATTCTTCTTGCATTCCTGTCACCCGAGTCAATTCGACCCAGGAACACAATTGAGGAGACAGTATTCTTCCGTAGTACTTCCGATTCAGGATTTCCGTTTTTGGGAAGAACACACTATAATTTCACTCACCATTTCTTGTTTGAGGAAAAGGAGTTTGCCCTCCAGTCGTTCAAAGTCCGCGGAATTGTGTCCGGAACGTGCCGACGTGGGGGTCGCCTTGTCGTGTCTGCTTCCCACGAGCGAGCGAACGAGACTTTCGGGAACTTTGCGACCCAATTTGGTCTCCAGCTCCTTCAAATCGGGCAACGCGGAGCCACCTTCGTCCATGACAAGTCGACTCGCTCGGCGAAACACTCAAAATGCGTTGTTCAGGACGAAAATTGTCGTTTGCGTTGCGTCTGGAGTTGTACGCTAGTGTGTGGCGAGTGTGACTTCATTCATGCTCACGGCAACAAGTGAGTGGAAATGTTGGAGAGTTCTACCATTGAAACGGTCTGCTTCCGTCCGTCTGAGCCGTCCGCCCCGCAGGCTATCTTCCTGCCTGCCTGCCTCCCGCCTTCCGCCCTCTCGTCTTTGAAATCCGACACCGCGCAGGTGAATCGAGCCGGTGACGTCACTCGTCGTTAGCCGAAACAAATACACTTCCGTGTGCAGTTCAAGTCAAGCGTTTCCCACGACGAATGCTATTTTTGAAAAACGGAACATTTATTTCTTTTTATTTTGGTCATGTTTTTAGGACCAAAAAGTTTTTTTTTTTAAAAAAAGACACGTTCACTTTGATTCGTTCAGCTCACTCTAGTCCTAAAAAAAGTACTTTTAATTTTAACCCACTGTGTCACAATAGGCATTATTATAAAAAATAAAAAATCCTTTGATTATGATTTGATTCAAATGATTGATACATGCAGGAATGTTGAAAATAAACAGTTCTTAAACGTTAATATATCTGAACCTATCGGGCAGTGATTCTTTCCCGTGCTACACACTTTGAGAATCACTGCTGCTCCGATGTGTCATGTGCATGGCTCATGATTCTTTTTTAAAATAAAATACAGCAGATACATAGAAAGCTACATTTAATTGAATGTTGTACTTTTAGTATTTCTCTAAATCAATGTAAATGTTCCAGTTTTTGCTCTCTAGTCGTGTTAGCTGCCATGCTAACTGGAGAAAAACAAAATGATAAATTTCAAGCATAATTTCTGCTATTTAAAATCGGAACATGGTTTTAAATATACAAGGAGGACATTCACAAAATCATGCTCAAAAAAGCAGCTTTTTTTTCTTTCATTTTTTAAATTACTCAACAAGAAGCAGGGACAGAAAAAAAAATACATTTTAAAAGTACTCAAGAGCTATTTGGTATTTTCAATAAAATTCAGGTATCACTTTTACGAAAGCTACACTTGCATTTTATCTCAGGGCATCTATAATTTCCACCACAATTGCATGTTTCAGTTTTTTTTTTTTTTTGGGGTAGGTGACAATTTCCTACAATTCAGAAACAACCCAGGTTCAAATTCAACATTCGTTAAAAAGAGGTCATCAGCCTTCTCGGTACATTTATGACAGTTTAAAGTCGAAAGACGGTATTTAATGGTGACAAAACTAAAGAAAAATAATAATTTAGTAGCTCAAAAACCACGGAAACGCAACAATACATGCATCACATTTCCATTTGTTGGAAACAAAGGGTCTCATTCTGATCATGTCCCGTACCAGTATACTTGCGGTGATATGGCGCCCCCTGCGGACAAAATAGTGCCATTACCAATGTTTGACGCCAGTTTTCGACACAAAATCAAAAATAAATGAAATATCGTGTTAATGAGAGGCTATTGATGTCTTTCATTTCTGATGAAATTGTTTTTAAAACAATTATTTTCTCTTATCACTTTACATGACGAAAATGGCGACGTTGCCTTCATCTTCATTTTACAAAGAATCAATTTTTAACTGTAATTATACTGTTTACACATTTGCACATTCCCTGTTTGTTTTTGTCTACTTGCACTAATTAAAAAAATAAAACCTAGGTTCCTAGCTACTCAATACTTGATTAGTTTTTTCTTCAATGTATCACTGTCCTGTGAAACATGGGTATGTCCATTTTTGTCATTAAAAAAACAAAAACAAAACAAAACATGAATGGAATGTCCATAACGCATTAATGTCTATCTATCCATTATCTGATCCACTTATCCTCGCGAGAGTCGGGGGTGTGGTGGAGCCTATCCCACCTGCCTTCAGGTAGCAGGCGTGGTTTTTTTTTTTTTTTAACTAAATTTTAACTCAAATGGTGACCCGACTTTAAAACTTGACCCTACTTTGACCTTTACTCTTAACGGAACATTTTTTTCAGCCAGTCAGAAGCCAGAAGAAAATCCTTTGGAGAACACACACAGGCTTGACAAAGCAAAAGGCGATGTTCCAAACCAAATCTAGGTAGGTTTTTAATTTGAGCCAATCAGATGGTGGAATAAAAAGGCACAGGCTGGGTACCGTATTTTCCACACTAAAGGGCACACTGGATTATGAGGCGCACCTTCAATGAATGGCTTATTTTGTAATTTTTTTTCATCCATTGGGTGCCCTGCTAAAACCTACTCAAGCAGAGAGAGAACATGCAAACTGCACACAGGAAGACAGGGGCCAGATTCGAACCCACAACCTCTACACTGTGAGGTGGACGTGCTAAGCAGTCGTCCACTGTGCCACATGCATTAATGTAAATATTTTACAAATTAAAAAAATGTTTGTCACAGGACAGTGACAAATGAATACTTACTCAACTAATTGTTTGGACGACTCCTTTTTAGTATTACTTGAGTCGTGTTATTTTGAATTCTTGATTAAAATGTTTTGCAAGGGAGTGCTTGTGTTGGTTCACCTGGAAGACGATAAATCCTAAACTTTAGTTCTCCAAAGGCAGAATTATTCTCCTGCATTCTGACAGTGTTCAATTAGCCTGGTTTTGAGTGGTCTTAAAGTTAAAGTAATAGTTTATGAGGCACGTGGGTGAGGCCTGAGCTCAGAGGGCTGACTGGCTTTTGCCGTCATCGTATCGCTGGTACTGATCCCCAAGCAGCGGCTGGAATCCCTCCACCTTACGGGACC